ATATTCAGTATCTTTTTTTGATTCATGTCAAGATCGACATTTATAGTCATGGCTGTCCTTATATTGGGTTTATAAAGAGTGTGATAATCATAAACTTTATCAGCGTCAATATAACATGCCGTTCCGACTATGCCATGAGCGATAATGTAATTTTCTGTCATATTTTGTGCAATATCGACTAGCAAATGGAGCTAGTACAAACGGTTTGAAGCCGTCTTCATAAAATTGACCATGACCCAGTGATAATACATAAATTCAGCACTGTTGCTTGAATTGACATATCTATGACTGGGTTTCTTCACGGCTAAATTTCCAATGGTTATTCCTTTGAATGTCGCTTTATCAATTGAAATTCTCGATTTATGCCAAAGTTGATAATCAACAATCAAGATTTCAATACACAAAGTGTAATCAATATTTCTTGTTAGAGGAAAACATTGAATGCCCATTTTATACTTATACGAGCTGAGCCTTGTGAATTTTTCATTATTGTTGTGTAAATTACTGTTTGGCTGTAAGAGTGAAAATTGCCCCTATCCGGTGATAAATCAGCAGTCTTTACCATATTGAAACTATTTCCACCAGAAATCAAATCCGACCATTCCAGAATATTTTGCATTAAATATTTAAACTGATTCGTTTTACGACCTGGTTTCATTTTTGTTTGTATGTATTTACTTATTTGTTCGTCTAAGTATTTTTTGTGTGTCGCACACCAGTCAGATCCCGTAAATTATCGATGGTGTAATTATTCATGTGATGTCTATTATTTCAGCGGCTGTTTTTTGAAATTATTTAATGTCAGCGAACCCCATGCAAGCTGCTGACATAGTAGGAATTTTGTGTGTTAAGACCTAAATTTGTAATTTGTTTGTTGTTCAAGTTAAGATTACCACTCATTGCAACAGAACCATTCAGAGGTAAATATCTATCCTTAGCCCATTTAACATTAATCACTTCACTGTAGTGCCCTGATATATAATTTTTGTGCATTGTTTTTTTTTTCACAATCAAAGTTTTGATTTGGGTCCCTACTACCAAAAGGCGCCCAGTTATTAAAGAATTTCATATTGATCACATCTGTACTACTTGTAGCATCTCCAACACTTGTAATCTTATTATCACCCATATTCAGATTACCCGACATCGTATTCACCAGCTTTGGCTACATGTTGATCAACATAAGATTTGTTTGCTCCATGATCGTTATTGACGGGTGTCTTAACATTATATATAAAATTATTTCCCATGTCCAAATGAGTTTCCATTGGAAAAAGCAGATTCCTTACGAGATACGAACACATCGCGAACATCCTCATAACACACTAGAGTATTTCTATTTGTATTCATTTCATCGAATGTTTGCTGTTTGCTGTGGATGACATTGTAAGTATCCTAAAGATCAATATCCTTTGTAATTGTTTCAAAATCGACCACATCAAGTTGTTTTAATGTCATTGCATCTGTTGGGTTTTTTTCCATCAGCAACATTTGCCAGTTTTTTATTCACCACGTCATAATTCCCAAAACCTACTTCGGGTCTACCTCTTTCACCTTGGCCCGAAGTTTTACTTTTAAAGTTTAACAATCCATTTGAATAACTCGTATTCATATATATTAGATTATGTATTTTCATTAAAGTTTTTGGCAAAACGTGTTTTGGGCTTATCAACATAAATAAAATCATATGGTTCTTCTGTGGCTCTTTGATAGTTACGTTTACTAATTCCAACTGAGCTCCCCGCATATCATATTCTGCTCATTGCTGGATGGAAACTCAAAGATACAATGATGTGTGCAGTTTAATCGGATTGTTTTATCTGTGTTATAGAAAGGCTGCCTCAGGAAGATACAGCTGCAGTTTTTATTTCTTGAATTGATAAAGTAGTTTCGTATCTCTGAATCATTTTTTGCTCCTGCATTAAGGTAATCATAAAAGAATGACTAACTTTTGATGGTCACATGGTATTTTATCCAGCGGAATTATTTTATCATTGCTTGCTTCAGTAATAGGATAACCAGCTTCTTCACGAATAGGTTCGAATAGGTTTATTAAATACTGATATATACTTGCTCTGTTGCAGACTTTTAGCATATAAATATACCTTGTCAAAATACAGCAATCTATAGATGATATCCGAAAGAAGGTTACCATAGGTTTGCCCGAACCTGAAGGACCGCATACAAGCATTCTAAAACACCTATCAGACATAAATGAGACTTTCTGTTTATAGGTAGATTGTTTATCTTCAATCATTAGCGGACGTTTTAGAGGGTAAGAAACAAATTTATGTTGGTCCTCAATAGTTTCCTCCAGAATATGATGAGGATGAAGGCCCCGCAATGCTTTGGATGAAGAAGACAGAACTAATGAGATATTGAAAGATCTGGAAATCACTGATTATGATAACGTTGAGAAAATTCTAAATGAAACAGGAATGACACCCACAAAGATAAGATCATTTCTTAATAATAAGGTACCAAAGCTTGCAAAGTTCTGGATCGGAGAAAACAACTAGGAGGTTATAAGACAAAAGTTACGAAAGCACACAATAGGGGTGAGATAGGAGAAGCAGATAGGGCCATGGGAAATAAAAGAATACATGTACTAAAATGATTCAAGAGCTGTTTTAAACCAATATATCAAATATTATGAAAATAAAGTCAGAGAAACGAAAGGTTCTGGGATCAGAAAAAGAGGTGGTAATGTGATATTTTTCAATAATCCCAAGAAATTGCTAAAAAAGTTGGAATTAATTAGCGGTGAAATAATGGCTGGTAATGCATCAATTAAAATGCGTAACATAGGAGTTACAATATTAGACAC